TTCATTTTTAAGGCTGTATTCCATCCCATTTTGACAACAATTACACATGTCACAAACACAGAGAGAAGTTCAAAGGACTTCTTAGGGGGACAGGGTAAACATGCATCCTTTTCACAAGACAACCATCACATGTTTAGTTCTTCTTCCTTTACTATCTAGTAAAACTTTGTGCATGTAATGGTTTACATTATTTTGTATATACACTATTTATACACATTGTGTAAACACACACACCAAAGACAGCTAATGAAGTGAAGTATGTGATAACATAAGGGAATGTTTGCAAAATTATTCAAATTTGAACTGTCTAGACATGCAGTAACCAATGCCATTCCTGTCTGCAGGAGTGAGGTATTATTTTGTTTGTTGCTGTTATGTGACATCCAGTCAGCCTTGATTTGGGACCTCATTGGACGCAGTCTTTTCTGTGTCTTTTCTCCATTTTCAGGTGCTAGAAACATGGGCTCCCAAGGAGTCCATCCTCCAACCCACGGCCACTTCTAGTGGCTGCTGTGTTGTCAGTGTGTTAACACGGAGAGAAGACTCCATTTTCAGGAGTCAAATGCTACCTGACTCCTAACTGTAGAAAACAGAGGAATCAGGGAAACCACAAGCAATGATGGCAAACGATGTGAGATGGCTGGCTATCCCAGAAGATGGGGAAAGATGGCAGGGAACAAAATAAGATGGTTCCCTCCACTTTTCCCAGATTTTCCTAGCTTTCCCTCTGTCTATCTGAGGAAGCGCTTATAGTGACCCAATGAGTGAGAGACTTCCAAGACTCCTGTTACTAACGGCCTTTTGCAGATTATGAATCTCAGGGGTATGGCTTTCTTGATTTAACCAATCCATTTGTAATGTGGTGTTTCTTTTCCCCTACTGGCTTCAGCTTTACTGAGTTTTATCAACTTATTGAGTTTTCCAATCAGTCATGCTATCTATGATGTGTGTGTCCAAGGTATGATAGCATCAACTTAGTGATCTTGGCTTCTAGTGGAAATTCATGCCCCAGTGGCACTTGGATCCATTTATTGAGCTAGTAGGGAATCCACTCTCTTCTAGTACCACTTTTCAAGTGAATTAATTTTCTTCACAGTCCAACTTTGATACCCATACACAGAAAACAGAAATATCATAGCATGAATTATCCTGACTTTGGTATTCAATTATATGTCCTTAATAACTCCAAGCCCAAGTGTTCTGTTGATCTGAATACATTCTCCATTTGGATTAATTACCCACATTCCATGTTCCCATTATATGCATTGCGCTGCTCAGGCTTTCCTCCCGTAAGATAACATGTATGGTGAGCATGTATAAACATGTAACACAGTCCCTCTTCGCAGACTAATAGCATAATGGCTTATTCCAGAGATAGATAGATAGGTAGATAGATAGATAGATAGATAGATAGATAGATAGATAGATAGATAGATGATAGATAGATAGAGATAGATAGATAGTGTTGGTGTTAACCTATAAAGCCCTAAACGACTCCAGCCCTGTTTACCTCTCCGAACGTGTTCTCCCCTACGTACCATCAAGATTACTAAGATCGTCTGGAGAGGCCCTGCTCTTGGTCCCACCAGCCTCACAAGCGCGCCTGATGGGGACGAGGGACAGGGCCTTCTCGGTGGTGGCCCCACGACTCTGGAACTCTCTCCCACCGGAGGTCAGAACCGCCCCGTCTATCCTGACATTCAGGAAATGGGTGAAGACGTGGTTGTGAAGACAGGCTTTCGATGAATGAGACAGCACCCTAGGATTGTGGATGGAAGATGAGGTATACTTGTTTTTAATATGACGACTGACCACCGTAGTTTTAAATATAGTTGTTATTTTAAATGTGTTATTGTAATTATGAACTATGATATTTTACCGATTGTATGTTTTTATGGTTGTAAACCGGGCTGAGTCCCTCTAAGAGGTGAGAAGCTCGGTATAGAAAACTTTGAAATAAATAAATAAATAATAGATAGATAGATAGATAGATAGATAGATAGATAGATTATAGATAGACAGATAGTCAGATAGACAGATAGACAGCAGATGATAGATAGCTATGATATATCACATAAGCCAGAAGAAACATTTTGATATCAAAATTACTGTTACATAATTCTGTACTTCTGATAGCCTGCCTCCTTTTGTTTTGTAATATTGACTAATCCAAGCATCCTACTTCATCTGATATTCTGTAATATTTTGGTGATTTAAATAAGGAATTGTATGGTTATCTCTAATGGAGCAACATGTTTGCAAATATTAGAGCAATTAACTTTAAAAGCCTTAGTCTTCTGGCCTTTTTCATAGTACAACCATGAAGTAGCCTACCAAATTCAATTACTCTTGCAAGTTCACAAGAGAGGATGGCAATATGGCTTAACCTTTTCTGCCCCATTGTAGAAAACCTGCAGTTTTTATAAGTACTAGCTTGCTGAAATTTTATTTCAGTTCCTGCCAGTCAGTGGGAATACTAAAAAAATCTGCATGCTTAACTGAAATGATGCACTGAAAAAAACATGTATACTTTATTGAAAAGTTGTTGTTCTTTCTTGTAAATGTCATTTTAGACTATAAGTAAGAGTTGTTCATATTATTATCCAAATGTAGACTTAAAGATTTCTTTCAGGTGCAACATTTTACAAGGAAATGGGCCGTTTCTGACTTATGATGATCCTAAGGCAAACCCATCACAGGATTTTCTGAGGCTGAGAGATATGACTTGGCCAATGTCACCCATTGAGACCCCTGGTCTCTAGAGTCATAGTCCAACACTCAAACCACTTCACCATGCTGGATTTCTAGGTCCCAGTGAAATGCACCCATTTTCTCACAATGGGACATGAAATTAAGAGTGGCCATGTTTAGCACAATGTCAGGTTTGAACCTTCATGTCATTTGCAAGTCATCTTAGTCAAGAATCCTCAATTCAAGTAAGGCTATTTCATCAGAAGAGAAAGGATCTAGCCTGTTTTGTGAGTTTTATGTAAAGGCCAGAATTTTGTGCTATCCAAGTGTTATAGAAAGTCAACTCATTATGCAAGAGCCATAGAGAGTAACTCCGGCTACTGAGATCACATCTTACAGGGTGAATATATCTAGAGATATACGTGTAAAGGATTATCATCATTAATGTACCCACTGGAATTCTGAACCATTCAAATTCTATCCAGAAATCTAAGAACCGGTGAAATATTGTTGGATAATTCAGCATGTTTCAAGCAGTTCCCCTTTTTGTAATAGCATTTTTGTGATCCTGTCTATGGCAATTTCATCCCGATGTTTTGTTAGGCCATTTGGAATTGTTCACACAGTGCCTAACATTACTCAAACCACAGTTGTCTTTCCCAGAGGTGCTGAACCTCAATTTGTCTCAACATTACGCAATCTTTCCTCTCTCTTTGCTTTTGATTATTCTGTCCCCCAGGATTGCCCTATCTATATTATTATTATTATTATTATTATTATTATTATTATACATAAAGACAATTTAAATCAATCTGAGTACATCTGTTTTCAGGAGAAAAACCACTGATACCGCCAAGAATCAACTTGCTAGCCTCAACCATATAAACAAAATTGTTGGATAATAAGGAGGATTAAGGAGAAGTCTATTAAACATTAAATTATGTTATGATTTAACACATTAAGCACCACAACATGTTTTACAACAAATCAATAGAAAACGCAGTTCAGTACATGGCAACATTATGTAGTAATTATTTATTTATGAATTTAGCACCAAAACATCACATTGTATTGAAACATTTGTGGATCAGGGCGGGAAGCAGACTGCGTTGGATAATACAGAACACTGGATGAGCGAAGGTTGGATAAGAGAGACTCTTTAAATCGTTGAAATTTAAAACCATCTTGTCAATCAAATGTATGTGTGTGTCATTATTCTGCACTAAAATTGCATCCAAAATGGTTTGCACAAACTAAACATGAGCAGTAAATTTAAACTCTAGCTCCAGCAATGACCTTAAATAATGGTCTTGGGCAGATCAATCTTTATTCGGCTATCATTGCAACCAGGGATGTTAGCCTTAAATCCCCATGTGTGTCAGAGCCCCTCCCTGTCCTGCTCCCATATTCAAATTCATATCAGAAACAGCAATCAACAAAAGTGATTAACCTACTAAGATTGGCTCAGAACTAAGAAAATAGGAATGGGGACATATTGTCAAGGTGTTGGATTTCAACATACTTTTAATAGCATGATATATCATTTTATACAGGGAGGAAAACTGAATGTCATAACAGACAAACAAATAAAATGACTCTCCAAAAAGGTAAAAGGGAACCTTATCCCAAAGGGAGGGGGGAATTCTGGAAAGGCAACAAGTACAGATGTAAAACAGTATGTTACATTTCTCAGATTCTTACCAGCATTTTTATTCCTTCCACATCCCATACTACTTATGAGACATTTTTCTTTCTTGCATATGTTGGCATACATTTTCCTAGTGTATTTATTTTTCTTAATGCATGCATTACATCTCATTTTTGCCATCTTTGTGTATATTTTTCTAAAATGGGAATTTTGAAAGGTGCTTTTATGAATACATTTAAACATTGTGTTCATTTGTTCATTTACTTTTTCAAAAAACCCGATGCTCATCCCCCATCCACCACCAAGTGATAGGAAACAAAAAAAAATACATTCATGAATAATCTCACACATCATGAATTTGATAAATTCATATTTTAAAATCTCAGTTAATACACATTTATTTTCCATCCTTAATGGAAAGGAGCATGCTATCCCAATGGTGCTGGTCTCACACTGGCAGTTACTTGGCTCAGTTCACAGGGGAGGGCTCCCTCCAAATGGGGCATCTCCATGTCTCTGTCAATAGAGCCAAGATGATAGTTCAAATTCAGATATAAATCAGAACACAAAGGAAATGTTTGCCTGTTGATTAGTGAAAATTCACAAATTAGAAAGAAAAAAATTGATATGCTTTTATGCATTTCTTCCTTTTTCCTTCTAGGCACAGTCTGTAAAGGAAGGAGAATGTTCAGAATCTATGTTGCATCTGATGAAGAAACTGGAGCAGCTGAATATAGATATCGAAGAAGCTCTCAGCATTGGCTCCTCTCCTTCTGGGACTCCACAAACCAAAAGGCATAAACAGATGGTGAGAGAATGGTACACATACCATTTACTGTGCACAATGTTTTGTAGCACATGGAAAATGTATTCAATGGCAATTAGCTTCAGCAAGAACCCTTTACTCCCAAGCAGTATATTTTATGTGTATCAGTGAGATTTAGGGGTCAGATCACAATCCCATTTCCACAAATTGCTCGTCTGCCTTTTTTCAAATTATATTCTCCAATTCCATATGTGTTGTTTAATATTGCCTTTGTAATTTCCCTGTTTTCATTACAAACTGGTCTTGGCTCTTGGTGTTTGGCTGTTTTGTAAAATGCATCATACATGCATAAGATCTCCAGCAAAGGATCACCGCCTTGTCGGGGCGCTGGAGCTTGAGCACCTCAATGATGTCATGAGCGAAACCGTGAAGGGACACCCAAGACGGGACGGTTGTGGCAGAGAGGTCAGACCAAGCGTGATCCCTGGGGAAGGCAATGGCAAATCACTCCAGTATCCTTGCCAAGAAAACTAAATGGACCAGTACAACCAGAGATATGTCGGTATGCCATTGGAAGATGGGACTCCCAGGTCGGAAGATGGCCAAAATGCTACTGGGGAGGAGCAGAGGATAAGTTCAACTAGCCCCAGATGTGATGACGCAGCTAGCTCAAAGCCGAAAGGAAGGCTAGCGGCTGACGGTACTGGAGGTGAACGACGAATCCGATGCTCTAAAGATCAACACACCATAGGAACCTGGAATGTAAGATCTATGAGCCAGGGCAAATTGGATGTTGTTATTGGCGAGATGTCAAGACTAAAGATAGACATTCTGGGGGTCAGCGAACTGAAATGGACTGGAATGGGCCACTTCACATCAGATGACCACCAGATCTACTACTGCGGACAAGAGGAACATCGAAGAAATGGAGTAGCCTTCATAATTAATAATAAATTCGCTAAAGCAGTGCTTGGATACAACCCAAAAAATGACAGAATGATCTCAATTCGAGTGCAAGGAAAGCCTTTCAACATCACAGTGATCCAAATATACGCCCCAACCACAGCTGCTGAAGAAGCAGAAGTAGATCAGTTCTATGAGGATCTGCAGACCTACTGGATAATACACCAAAAAGAGACATTATTTTCATTACAGGAGACTGGAATGCCAAGGTGGGAAGTCAAATGACAACTGGGATCACAGGCAAGCATGGTCTGGGAGAACAAAATGAAGCGGGACGCAGGCTGATAGAATTTTGCCAGGAAAACTCGCTGTGTATAACGAATACTCTCTTCCAACAACCTAAAAGACGGCTTTACACATGGACCTCACCAGACTGTCAACACCGAAATCAGATTGACTACATCCTTTGCAGCCAAAGGTGGCGGACATCCATCCAGTCGGTGAAAACAAGACCTGGGGCTGACTGTAGCTCAGATCACGAACTTCTTATTGCCCAATTTAGAATAAAACTAAAGAGATCAGGGAAAATACACAGACCAGTTAGATATGATCTCACTAACATTCCTAGCGAATATACAGTGGGAGTGAAGAACAGATTTGAAGGACTAGATTTAGTAAACAGAGTCCCAGAAGAACTATGGACAGAAGTCCGAGACATTGTTCAGGAGGCGGCAACAAAGAACGTCCCAAAAAGAAAAAGAAAACCAAGAAGGCAAAATGGTTGTCTGCTGAGACACTGGAAGTAGACCAAGAAAGGAGGAAAGCAAAGGAAACAGGGATAAGGGGAGATATGCCCAGTTAAATGCGCAATTCCAGAGGTTAGCCAGAAGAGATAAGGAACTATTTTTAAATAAGCAATGCATGGAAGTGGAAGAGCCAACAGAATAGGAAGGACAAGAGACCTCTTCCAGAAAATTAGAAACATTGGAGGTAAATTTCAGGCAAAAATTGGTATGATAAGAAACAAAGATGGCAGGGACCTAACAGAAGCTGAAGAGATCAAGAGAAGGTGGCGAGACTATACAGAAGATCTGTATAGGAAGGATAATAATATCGAGGATAGTTTTGACGGTGCGGTGAATGAATTAGAACCAGACATCCTGAGGAGTGAGGTGGAATGGGCCTTGAGAAGCATTGCTAACAACAAGGCAGCAGGAGACGACGGGATCCCAGCTGAACTGTTTAAAATCTTAAAAGATGATGCTGTCAAGGTGATGCATGCCATTTGCCAGCAAATATGGAAAACACAAGAATGGCCATCAGACTGTAAAAAATCAACTTATATCCCCATACCAAAAAAGGGAAATGCGAAAGACTGCTCAAACTTCCGTACAGTGGCCCTTATTTCTCATGCCAGTAAGGTAATGCTCAAGATCCTGCAAGGAAGACTCCAGCAATACATGGAGCGAGAGTTGCCAGATGTTCAAGCTGGGTTTAGAAAAGGTAGAGGAACGAGAGACCAAATTGCCAATATCCGCTGGATAATGGAGAAAGGCAGGGAGTTTCAGAAAAACATCTACTTCTGCTTCATTGACTCTTCTAAAGCCTTTGACTGTGTGGATCATCATAAATGGTGGCAAGTTCTTGGTGGGATGGGCATCCCAAGCCCCCTTCCCTCTCTCCTGAGGAATCTGTACAAGGACCAAGTAGCAACAGTAAGAACTGACCACGGAACAACAGACTGGTTCAAGATTGGGAAAGGCGTACGGCAAGGCTGCATCCTCTCACCCAACCTTTTTAACTTGTATGCTGAACACATCATGCGATGTGCGGGGCTGGATGAATGCAAAGCTGGGGTGAAAATTGCTGGAAGAAACATTAACAACCTCAGATATGCAGATGACACCACTCTGATGGCCGAAAGCGAGGAGGACCTGAGGAGCCTTCTAATCAAGGTGAAAGAAGAAAGCGCAAAAGCCGGGTTGCAGCTAAACGTCAAAAAAAACCAAGATTATGGCAACAAGAATGATTGACAACTGGAAAATAGAGGGAGAAACCGTGGAGGCCGTGACAGACTTTGTATTTCTAGGTGCAAAGATTACTGCAGATGCAGACTGTAGCCAGGAAATCAGAAGACGCTTACTTCTTGGGAGGAGAGCAATGTCCAATCTCGATAAAATAGTAAAGAGTAGAGACATCAGAATGGCAACAAAGATCCGCCTAGTCAAAGCCATGGTATTCCCTGTAGTAACCTACGGATGTGAGAGCTGGACCTTAGGGAAGGCTGAGCGAAGGAAGATCAATGCTTTTGAGCTGTGGTGTTGGAGGAAAGTTCTGAGAGTGCCTTGGACTGCGAGAAGATCCAACCAGTCCATCCTCCAGGAAATAAAGCCCGACTGCTCACTGGAGGGAAAGGATACTAGAGACAAAGTTGAAGTACTTTGGCCACATCATGAGGAGACAGGAAAGCCTAGAGAAGACAATTATGCTGGGGAAAGTGGAAGGCAAAAGGAAGAGGGGCCGACCAAGGGCAAGATGGATGGATGGCATCCTTGAAGTGACTGGACTGACCTTGAGGGAGCTGGGGGTGGTAACGGCCGACAGGGAGCTCTGGCGTGGGCTGGTCCATGAGGTCACAAAGAGTCGGAGACGACTGAACGAATGAACAACAACATGCATAAGATAATCCTTTTCCATGATTGTGCCCAATGGGGCACTATATAATCCAACTAATATTAAAACTTTATGAACACATGCAATCTTTCCAAGTTATATATTGACTTGATCACAAAGCAGCAGCTAGCTAAGGGATGCTTCATGTTATAACATGAATTTGATGGTGAAATAGCAACAGTAACTGTGACTGCCATGTGCAATCAGAAAATGACTTGGTTTGTTCAGTGTACTATGATCCTTAACTGGGAGTAGGTGCAGAATTTGCTGTACTAACTCAGAAAAGTATCTTAATTCCCCCCCCCCCTTTTTTTTTTAAGGTTCATTTATAAATCCGGGCCTTGGATAATGGAGATTTTTGAGAAAGATCTGTTTTGACTATAGGGGCTATTCCATTTTTTTCCTTTTAGGAACCCTATATAATATGCAAGAGTGTTATTCTTTATTATATCAAGGAAGTAATTGAATTAGCCATATCTGTATTGGGAATGCAGTGGGTTGGATGCTGTATAAATACTGTACTCAAATTCTGCTTTGATCATACCACATTTTGACCTTTCTATAAGCTTCTTCAACTCCATGGTCTGACTAACCAGGCTTACATGCAAGCTGGTGGGATGTGGGACATCCATAAGCAGATAGGAAAATTAGTCCAGATAGCTCAGGACTGTCAACACTTATTGGCAACAGCTCTGCAGAATTTCAGGCAATTATTTCCTAGCCGTTTCTGAAGATCCCTGATTTTCCCTAGTGAACTCTCCTGCATGTAAACTAACAGGTTGGAGGTTCGAATCCGGGGAGAGTGCGGATGAGCTCCCTCTGTCAGCGCCCCATGTAGGGATGATAAAACATCAAAAAAAATCCGGGCGTCCCTGGGCAACATCCTTGCAGACGGCCAATTCTGTCACAACAGAAATGACTTGTAGTTTCTCAAGTCTCTCCTGACATGGATTAAAAAAAACAAAAACAAAAAACCCGAAGTATCATAATTTGTCTCTTGTTTCCTTCTTTTGACAAAATGTATTATTTGGGCTGTTAATTGTAAAAAAAAAAAAAAGATCAGTTGGGAGTAGAGGGGCTACTTATACACTCACCCTAGGCTTTTATTGCTAGAAATCACCATATTTTGTTTTTCTTCTGTGTGCAAAAGCAGATGGAAAATGGTTCAGAAAGAAAGGTTAACAAGCCTTTATTCCCAGCCCCACTAGTCTTCTGTTGCACACTCCTGGCTCTGCATGCAACTGAGTTTAATTGTAATAAGGAAATGTTGGAGGAAACCTGCATGCCTTTACCAACAGAGAAACAAATACTCAAATCGCATAGACATGAGTTTAATTGTTCTAAGCTGTAATGCTTATAACAGATCTATTCCAGGATCCAAGAAAGTTCTCTGAAATGCTCTGTTAGTTATAAATTTGTCAAGCAAAGGATTTTTCCCAGATTGCGTAGGATAGAAGTTTAGCATT